AGATGGTTCTTCCTTCCTGCAAAGGGGAAGAGGTGCAGAAGTCAGGCCAGGTTTGTGGCTCAGCCATTCTACCTGCTCAAAGGAGTACTGAAAGGGTCCATGGGATCCTAACTTACCCATCACTTTTTTTAAAGAGGGTTCCTGATTTCTCTGTGCCGTACTGCTTGTTCCCTTGCAGCTGGTGCATGTTGTACCCTGCCTGTTTGCTCCCAGAATCCTGGCAGAAGAAGAGAGAAAGCAGCAAGTCCCCATCCCATCCCCACAGCTGCCCCTGTGGAGAGAGGTAAAGATAGGGGCAGGGAAGCCACCACTGTGCTGGGGATGGGAGATGCCAGCTGTGTCCCCCTACCACCTCCTCGCCTTACATCAACCTCTCTCAGAGGAATGCTCCAATGGTGCCTTGGCAGTGTGGGTGTCTCCCAGGGGATGCGGCAGCCAGGCCTGCGCATGTCTGGGATACGCTGCCAGGGTGACACAAGGAGGCAGCTGCTCAGACAAAGCTGCCATGCGACAGGGATTGCCTAGGGCAGGAAGGAGGGAGTAACCAGATAACACCCAGCTACAGGAGCCCCAGAAGCATGCTAGCCTGATGGCTACACCTGCCCCACCACTCCCAATCAAGAGCACACCCTTGTGGTACTGCCAGGGACCCTGTACTCCCCCCATAGCTGACTAGAAACCCCACAGCTTTCTACATCAGAGGGCAGCTCAGGGACTAGATAAGCAACTGCTGTGTCCTGCCCTCAAGGGCACTGCAGTGCAACCATCTGGTGTCCCCCTGGAAGAAGGATTGGACTTTACCTCTTTCTGCTCCAGCTGCAATGCTGTTTTCAGTTGATCCCGAAGGGAGCACAGCTGCTTCTTCTCCTCATCCTGCCCAATCTTCATCTAAAAGGCATCAGAGCACAGTGAGCCCTTCACATGGGAGGAGGAGACCTCTGCCTCAACTGCCACATCCCACTCATTCTCTTGGAAGAAGAGAAGATGCCCCCCCCATGCAACCTTCTGCCCTCAATGACTTCCTGTTTCTGTGGGATGCACGGAGGCCTACTCCACGGTATGTGGAATGTGCAGAAGCACTTCAAAAGAAACATCAACAAAGGGAGGGGCCAGGCATGTCCCCAGGGCCTGGAGCACTTTCTTGCAACACTGGATCACAGGGAGAGTATTCTGCACTCTAGCAAACGTTATTTTCTGAGAAAATAGCTGTTTTCAGCTCTCCACAGTGTAAAAACAAACAAAAAAAAAAGCTTCATGTTCATTGTAGTTGGTTTTTTTTAACTTTAGTACTGTCAGTAATTAAAATAATTAGAAGGACTCCAAGCCATCAAAAGTTTATTTCCATCAGGGATCTTGGGGGAGAAATGTGGCCCTGAAATGGAACCTGGGGTTTTATCTGCATGAGGAATCCGTAAGACATTGCTTGCTGTGCTCAGTTACTCCACCCTGGCTGTGGGCTGGCATCTCCTTTCTTTTTGATCTTTACATACTGAATTTTAATTTAATATGAATGATTACAACTTATGGAGCAAACAGGGTAACTCTGATAAAGCAAATGGATTCAAACCAAATAGCAGATGCCCAAAGGAGACCTATGCTATAGGACCAGGGGAGATGAGTACAAGTGACGCTGCTGCAGTATCTGGGTGATGAACACATCTCAGACCTCTCTGCAAATCATGACTTTCCATGGATATATGGGGAAGGCCTAGCAAGCCCAAGCAAACTGGAACTCTAATCTAGAAATACTGGGAAACCAACAAAAACTTTCTGCTGCACTTGGTGGACTTCAGTGTTTACACTCTCTCTGAAAACCTACCTTATGCCTTGCCATTTTTAAATCTTTTTACAGTGCAACAGGGCCTTTAAAGAAAAACATTAAGAGCTTGAGTTGGAAGCAACGAACAAGCAAAGCTAAGAGCACAAATGAAAAATCAGAGAGCCTGAAAAGCAATAAGGGCTTTGATAGATGAACATGTTAGTGCTTCTTTGGTACCCATTTTTATGCTTGTTTTCCCCTTTTGTACCCAGAGGTACAGGCATCATAATTTCCCCACTCCCACTGATGGCTAAGTTTTCCTGCAGAGAGGCTTCTAAATGTTAGAGCCTCAGGAAATTATGATTAATAGATGCGAAGAACTGTGCAAGTCCTCAGCTCTGCTTCTGTAGAGGAAGAAGAGGTCTGGGGACAGACAACCCTGCACCCCACTTGGAGCACCAAAGTTAAGATGCATACTCACACTCTGCAGCTCTGGGATGAGCGTCTCTGTAAACTTCTTAAGTTTTATTGTTGCGTTTAAACATTCCTGGAAAAAACTGATAGGAGAAGCTAATGTAAGAATATATTTGGAAATGCTGCTCTTAGCAATTACTGTAAAGCATACACGTCCCAGGTTCTCCTGAGCTCCTGCCTCACTATCCACCACGTCTTCAGCAGTTAGCACTTTTCCTTTGTAGCTGTAGTACAAAAGTGTTAGGAAACATATTTTAACAACTCTTGGAGACAGCTAAATTCAGAGAGCGCGCTCAGCACTCTGCCTCCCCCACATCCCAGATTTCTCTGATGTGCTTTATATACAACTTATCTGGCTTACAAAAATGTCAGACTAAAGAAAAGGAACACACCTCATTTAGATCCTTGTCTCCATCACCTCCAGGAAAAGAGGAATTCAAGCATGTTACAAGCCAGGCAGAGCTAACTGAAGGAACTCTAGGTCCTTTGAGTTAGATTACCTCCCAGTTCCCCTCTAAAAACTAGTGCTTCTGGAATGAAAGGGAGTGAAGGAAGGTTATCAGTCGCTCTTACTTGAACTGTGAGTTGCAGTGCTTGATATGGTTTTGCAGCAAGCCGACACCCTTCTTGGTTTTGATCTCATTCACTTTGATTAGATACTGAAGGGAAAAGGACACAGGGACTGAATTTGTAGCTTAGAGAGAGATGCCTTTTATGTACTTTTTCATGTTCCCCCCCTCCCACTGCCAGTGAAGAGCAGTGCACTGTGGCCCTTCCTGGCAGTCATGTCCTAATGTGAGCACCTCACGTGGTTTTTATGGGGTAAGAAGTTGGTGGCAGGAAGAGCCATGAACACAAGTGCTTTGACATGGGTTTAAAAGTACCCTGCCAGCAGCTCTCCCATGGCCTGCCATGAGCACTCCAGCACTTCACCACCCTTCTCAGCACCAGCTGAGGTCTGGACAATAGAGTGGTGGATGCACGGAGATGGGCTTTCTGGCCTTTCTTTGTTGAGGCAGACACTCAATTTATACACCCTAAAAAGATTCACCAAAAGACAACCAAACACAAGAGCCACAGAAGAACTGCCAGCATTACTATAAACCTTCAAATATCATCAGTCAAGAGCCAGATTCCTCCAAAACACACTTGACTTCACCCATGCACAGCCTAACCCTACTGCCACTGCCAGTGCTGCCAATCTGCCTCCCTATATCTTACACTTGGCTGACATCTCAGCCTACCTCAAGGACCTTCAGAAGCAAGCTTCAGATTTCCAGCCCAAAATTACTTGCCACCTCACAAAGCCCATCCTCATCCATAACAACATCACACTCAAAAACCAACGTTTTTTCCAAAATAAAGGTGTGGCTATTGGCAGAAAAATGGCCACACAATATACCCACCTATTCATAGCCCACCATGAGGAAGTACTTCAAAATAACTAGTCCTCAACCTGTGCTATATCTAAGATACAGAGTTGGCCTTTTCAGTCAGTGGGCTGACAAGGTGGAAAATTTCTATTCTGTGTATTTCTCCATCAGTGTCTGGAATACTTCTACAGTAGCAACAGCTTTCTAGACATTACATCTATCGTAGAAAAAGCAACCTACAAATTACTGCATACAGAAGATCCACCGGGCAATATAGCAAGCCAGCTTCCAAAACATACATACAGGCTATGCTGTATATATACAAACTTCACTGTATTTATTCTGAGGGCATCATTCAAAACAACCTCCATCCATCAGAAGTGTTTCCTAGAAGATAGCCCCTCAGAAAGAGCCCACATGTTGAACTAGAAACTTGAATGCCACATACGGACTCACATCAACACAGAACAAAACCTCCCCATGATCTACTGGCTCTTTCTAAGGACTGTGCAGCTCCACAAGACAAGGAATTCTGATATTTGCGGTGGAACGGTATTTTTGGTATGGACACAGTAACCACTTCCAAAACAGGAGGAAGAGGGACAGAAGGGAATGGGGGGGAGTGAGAGTCATCCGCCAAGCTGCCCAGAAGCGCTCAGATATGGCTGAAGTGAGGACCAGCACCTAGGGGTGTTCCTCAACAGACTCAGCTGGAACATCCTTCTCCCAGAGCCTGCCAGGGCCTCAGCACCAAAATCCTTAGTGCCTGGCAGGAGAGAAATGGCTGGGGAAGAGGTACGCTGACTAAGTCTCCCCTTTCCTTTTTTGCAGAGGCAATTTCTAGCCATTGCTCAAATCTTTGCTTTAAGTGGTCAGGATCTGCAGCAACCCCGAGGCCAGGACGGGGAAGAAGCAGCTGGTAAGAAGCCTCGATCCGAGGGCCTTACGGGATTTTTCTCGACTCGCATCTCTACTGCCAGGTTAAATACTGGCTCAGGCTTCAGATGAACTCCTTCATCAGCCCCTCTCACCCAGAGCAGCTCACCGACTGAGGAAATGGGCCCAGCAGAACGAACTCGACCTGCTGAGCAGTGACCTCTGGAGATTTGCACTCCACCTCAGTACTACTCCCCAGAGGCAGAGCAGAGGGATGCTGCCAGTTCTCCAGGCAGAGCCTGCGGCTCCAGGACACTTCAGCATCTCAGAAAGGCAGAACAACACCAGTCATACCACAGACACAGGCATCACCGATCAGGGACAGAAGATGGTCACAAATGAAAAATCAGTTTGTATTCAGACAAAAAAAACAACCTCAAAACAAGCCCAGGTCAGAAAGCAAGTGAGAATCGCCACCATGGGAATCACTGCTGTTTGGACGCTCCAGCCTGGGATCTCCTGGGGCTATGATATGGCTGCTGTGAGCCAATGGAAGGAAAACTGGTTCCTCGGATGCCGATTCAGAGACTCCGAAATGGCTCCTGGAGCAGACTTGGGCACCAGCAATCAGTGCTATCCTGGAGCCCCAAGAGAAGGCTGCAAAACCCGGAGTCTGGTGTTTAAGGACTGCAAGCAGGGTACAGGGCGAGTCAGGTTATGGTAAAGGCAATCCAGGAGGTGACTGACGCAATGCCTAGCTTCAGGCAGGAAGAAATGGGGAGCGCAACGTTGGGATTACAGGTTTACCCTTCTCCGGAGACGGCGTGCATGAGCCTGGACTCTGAGCCGACAGCCACAGCTCAGCCTTTTGGGGAGCAAGCAGGGAGATGCAGGAGGCATCTGTGACAGCTGAGGCTATGCTGTGGCATGAGCAGTGACACAGAGGAACTACAGAGGACCTACACAGGCAGAGTGCAAAGGACAGGAACAGGGAGGAGCCAGGCAGACTCCCAGGGTCCTGTGCTGTGTTGCTGCTGCTCCAACCCTCCCTGTCCTGCATTACCTCACACATGTTTAACTGGAAGGTCCTGCGCTCCTTCTCCATCTCCTCTGCGATCTCACCTCCGCTCACCTCACTCCGCACCATCCCATGTTGCTTTGCCAGCTCTCGCTTCTCCTTCTCAATTTTCGCACTCCAAGAAAGACGAGGGACACATGAAAGGCTCCATCTGACTATTCTTTGGTGAAGTCAGACAAAAACAAGCCTCCAAGTATGACCTTGGGGCAAAGAAGCATGACAACTTACAGTTTGCTCTCATAGTCTTTGCAGGCCTTCTCAAATGGTTTTTTGAATTCCTAGGGAGAGCCAAAGGCACCACTTGATGACTACGTTCAGGACAGGCTCTTCCTGAGCTTTAGCATACTGAGTTCCCATTGGACCACCCTAGCAGAAAGGACCTTGCAGACTAGTACATGGCTGTCCATAAGGCTGTCCTTTCCCAGGAAGGTATCCTCACATGTCCATGCACCCACATGTACAGCAGACAAGTATGCACCCCACTGTAGGTTTATTCACAAACACTACGTCCTTGCTTGCGTATACACTAATACATATGCTAATAGGCACTAGACATGCAAATACACAAATGCACAGACACTAAAACACATATCACACACGTGCATCAGGAAGACTTGCACGCAGATTTGTACATACTTGCACCCAGATTTCACAGACTCACATTTTTAAGGGCAGAAGGATTCACTAAGACATCTGCTCTGAAACACACAAGCCAGAAAGTATCTATCAGTTCCTCATCTGTTGAAGCCAGAACATTGTGTTTGACTAAAACACCTCTCACAAAGACATCAGAAACCTGTCTAAACCTGACAACATCAAGAGGATCTAATTCTGATCTATTTCTTCTTCTATATGTTCATTAATGGTGAATTAATTTTGCTGTTAAAAAGCCATACCCTGTTTCTAATCTAATTGGATGGCTTTAGCTTCTCTTCAGTGGTTACCATTTTGCTATGTTCAAATGTATTTGTCTGTTAAATGCATTTACTCAGATTACCCACATTCTGCCCTCTTCTCATTGTTTCCTGCTCTGCAAACTTCTGTGTCATAGAAACACAGACTAATTCAGGTTGGAAGGGACTTCAGGATGTCTCTAGTCCATGCTCCTCCTCGAAGAAGGAGCAGCTTTGAATTTAGACCAGGTTGCTCAGGGCACTGTCCAGGCAGATCTTGAAATCCCTAAAGATGGAGATCGCACAGCCTCTCTGGACCCCTGTTCCAATGCTTCACTGCTCCTCAAGCTGAACCTTTTTTTTTTCCTTTATGTCAAGGCAGAACCTTGTTAGGATAGATTCTCCCTTCTGATGAAAATGCCAAATAGATTTAGATCAAGCTGATTCCTGTGGGACACCATTAGAAACATCATCACCTTGATCACAGTTTCTTGTGGACAGCTGTTTTTCATCTCTCTCTGCCAGATTTTCTTCACTCCCTGTCTTCTTGACATTGTCCATAGCAATGCAAATAGTGGATTTTTTCCTTCACATATTTATATTCTTTTATCTACTTACTACACTCCACTTGCTCTCTCCTTCCATTTTCACACTCCTATATAACGCTAGTTCCCAGTTTTCTGCCTAAATGCTCCTAATTTTTCTCAGTATTTGGCCGTTAGCCTTTTGGAAGTCCCCAAATTCTGTCAGAGGTCTCAACCTTCTCTTTCCATAATCCTACCCATAGCCTTCCCCCGCTTTCCCAGAGGTTCAGCTGTCTGCTCCAAGGATCCCAGGCCCAGCGCTGATACAGCCCAGCTGCATAACCTCGGCACAGATTTCTGAGGCAATTCACCCTCGTAGGTAAACTCAGGAACTGTGGGTTGGATGAGTGGACAGTGAAGTGGATTGAGAACTGGCTAGATGGCAGAGCTCAGAGGGTTGTGGTCAGTGGCGCAGAGTCTAGTTGGAGGCCTGTAGCTAGCGGTGTCCCCCAGGGGTCAGCACTGGGTCCAGTCTTGTTCAGCCTGTTCATCAGTGACCTGGATGAAGGCACAGAGTGCACCCTCAGCAAGTTTGCTGATGATCCTAAACTGGGGGGAGTGGCTGATACACCAGAGGGCTGTGCTGCCATTGAGAGGGAGCTGGAGAGGCTGGAGAGCTGGGCGGAGAGGAACCTCCTGAAGTTCAACCAAGGCAAGTGCAGGGTCCTGCACACAGGGAGGAATAACCCCAGGCACCAGCACAGGCTGGGGGCTGAGCTGCTGGAAAGCAGCTCTGCAGAGGAGGACCTGGGAGTGCTGGTGGACAACAAGTTAAGCATGAGGCAGCAGTGTGGCCTTGTGGCCAAGAAGGCCAAAGGTAGCCTGGGGTGCATTAGGCAGAGTGTGGCCAGCAGGTGGAGGGAGGTGATCCTGCCCCTCTCCCTCTCCTCAGCCCTGGGGAGGCCACATCTGCAGTAGTGTGTCCAATTGTGGGCTCCCCAGGGCAAGAGAGACATGGCAGTACTGGAGAGAGTCCAGCAGAGGGCTCCAAAGATGATGAGGGGACTGGAGCATGTCTCCTCTGAAGAAAGGCTGCGAGAGCTGGGCCTGTTGAGCCTGGAGAAGAGAAGACTGAGAGGCGATCTCATTAGTGTGTACAAGTATGTGAAGGGGAGGGTGTCGAGAGGATGAGACCAGTCTCTTCTCCGTGGTGCCAAGTGACAGGACAAGAGGCAACGGGCACAAACTGAACCCCAGGAAGTTGCATCTGAGCATGAGGAGAAACTTCTTGACTGTGAGGGTGCCTGATCAGTGGAACAGGTTGCCCAGAGAGGTGGTGGAGTCTCCTTCCCTGGAGATATTCAAAACCTGCCTGGACGCGGCCCTGGGCAATGTGCTCTAGAGGACCCTGTCTGAGCAGGGGGGGTTGGACTAGATGATCTCCAGAGGTCCCTTCCAACCTGAACCATTCTGTGATTCTGTGATTCTGTAATTGATAAGTTAGGAGAAAAATCTGTGAGAAAGTCCATCGAGTGGAACCATGCAAGATAAGAAAGATTAAATTACCAAGTTTGGGCTGTTTAAACAGGATCATTTGTTGAAACAGCTCAAGGATTCAAGAAGAAAAAAACTAACATGGAAAAATATAAAATCCTAAAGGAATAAAAAACAGAGTTTTTCAGTGTTGTCAGGGTCATCAATGTCAGCGAGCACTGTGGAAGACAGCAGCTCAGCAATACCAAGAATCTGCTCCAGGGGGCAGCAGAGCTGGTTCTGCTCCTCCTGACATGATCTGCCTGGCCAGCAGACTCCTCAGGTGATTTATCAGGGTGGTAAGCACATTAATACTTAGCCTAGTAGCTCGTTAAATCCTAGCTATCTTTTGTATGTGTTAGCCAATAAATAATTGCTCTATAGTGTCTACTGTTTGTAGATTCTCTGTGCCCAAGGCTAGAAGTACTTGAACAAAGTGACCCAAAGAGGAGCGGCACCAGGTCAGAACGGGCAGCTGCTTGATCATGTTAGATGGAGGCTATGAACCAGCAATCCCTCAGCAGTGACCTAGTTCCAGAATAGCAATCAGAGTCAGTTCATTCATACAGCCTTCTTCACCCTAAACATCCACAGGAACTTGCACTGATTTGCGTTCAGATACACACAGCAACAAACGCACAGAGCTGAAGACCTCAGTACAGTCACAGAGACACAAACATGCAAGCACCAAGGATTGCCTTTTACCTCTCTATTGGTAAAAAAGCCAAATTAAATAAAAGTTTGATGCTCTTCCCAAAATTTACCCTGATTAATACTGAGAAGTTCTATGAATGCTCTACAATGTGGAAAATCAAATTATACGTTCACTTTAATACTTGCTATCCTATAATCTCTGAGACACAAGTGCAGCTATGTGGATACACACATGCATGTTCAGATTCACACAAACATGTCCTAACATATGTATGTGCAGGAGCCACAGGTGGGCCTGTGAGGAATGGGCCTCACTGAGAGGTTGTGGAGGAGTTTGTGCACAGGGAAAATATAACTATTTGGTGCACAACAGTTTTATTTTTTCTTGGTGTAGTGAACTATAGACTCCTCCGGGTTCAGCTGCAAAACAGAGGGACCAGCTACAGGGCATTGCTAGCCTGACTTCTGGTGTGAGGCCCCAGGCTCGAGAGAACAAGCAGGGCCCAGTGCACAGGAGGACCAGGCAGGACTGCCCTTCCAATATATATCTGTGCAGCACCCTGCCAGAGGGTAGGACGTGGGCCAGGGATGAGCCTCCACAGCTGCCACCCTCTCTTTCTCCATCCCCCTGCTTACCAGCACCATCTTTTCGCAGCTCTTTCAGTTTCTGCTTACCCCTTTGAGCTCTTTCAAGTCGCCCTTTATTAATGACTCCAAGGAAAAGTTAATGTTGTGGTACAAACTCTGCAACTGAAAAGGAGAGAGAGATCATATAGCCAGTGCTGCCCAGGCTGGTCAGACTAGCATGAGATCCCTTGGAAATGTCAGGCTGGGTCCAGCTGTAGATGCAGCCCCCCAGCTCTATGTCTCAAAACTTTCAGCCCTCCATGGGGGAAGAGTGTTTTGTGCTAATACTGCATGAGAGGGAGTGAGACCCAGGGCCACGAAAAGCATTGCAATAGTGCTATCCCTCTTTTAGACTGCTGCTCCCTTCTCATAGCTACCTCCAGGCCACCTAAGGGTGTCATCAGACACATCCTGCTCCAGGGACTTGAGTCCCAGGCTTGGTGCCAGCCCCTACACCACTCCCTGTGTTAAGGAAGCAGAGCTGTCTGGGAGGCTGCAAAATGAACCACTTCAGAAAATAGTCACCTGAAAACCACCCCTGGAGATTTTCAACGTTGAGCTGGACAAAGCCAGCTGACCTGATCTAGTCATAGTTCATGCCCTTTGATAGCATGGCTTCAAGAGTCAGGTCTTCTGCAATTCTCCAAGGCACTGCCCAGCTCCTTGCTAATCCCCAACCAGACATTTCAGCAGAGCAGAAGGGCCAGATTTTGTCAAACACGTAACAGCAGCAAAGTTTGCTTTCTCCTGGAAGCTCCTGTAACTATTTCTGAAGAGCTCAAGAGGTACCCCAGCTCACTCTGAACCTCTTCAAATTGGTGCAGGGGATGTATCCTGGCTCCTTGGAAGAGGCTTTGCATCACATCCCCCCAGGCCACTCAAGCCTGACTCATGTGATAAGCATTGCCTGTCATTTACCTCGCCCAAACCTCAGCTTTGGTCAATCAGCAGGATTCCTTGGGACCCCCCCCAATGGGCTCCTGTAAGCACTGTGTGCAGAATGGGGAACACTCAGCCTCCTCCTTGACAGGCCACCATGTGAACCTGCCTCTTCTGAGCAGCATCAGAGGTTAGCTGCCACTCAGTGAAGATGGCTCCAGCCATACCATACAGACCGTATCACCTGCTCTAAAACCATACACTGCACACTCCTACCTCTGTCTCAGGAAGGGGATGAGCTCTGACATGCAGACTGCAGACCAGTGCCTCCCACTCTTCCTGGGGCATGGGTCAGAGGCAGGCCCCTAGCCTGGCTTTCCCCACCAGTGTCCTCCTGACCCCTGTGAGTTGGGAAGCCTGTGACAGGACCCTGTTTAGACGTGCATGTGGAGGACAGGGTTGCCTACCAGGCTCCTAACAGAGGTCAGCAGCTCCCAGGAGAAGGTCGCAAAGGTGCTAAAGGCGTTGGCCAGTTGCTCCTCACCCTCCAGCTGGTAGTTGGCTGAGAATTTCTCCTGGGCGGTGATGTGGGCTTCAATGTGGCTGATGAGATCTGGGGGAATGCAGACGGTCCCCTGTGTGCTCAGGGGGAAGGCCTAGATGAATGCCCATGCCTCTGCCTCCCCCCAGCAGTCACTATTTTAGCTCTGCCCTAGGACCAGGGTGGGTGGCTCCCGCTGCCTCCCACTGCCTCCCTCCTACTACCTGCAGCCACTGCCCAGCTCCTAAGGGCATTGCAGCCCACTCTGCTGCCAGCTGGCAAGGGGCATGAACAAAAGCAGCTACAGGGACCTGAGAGCTGCAGGCCTGGGGACATATGCACACCCCAGACAGTGGACACATTTCCCACACCCAGCTTCTCAGGTGCCATCAACCTGACCTGCTGTGAGAACTCCCCTCAGCCCTCTGTCACCCATCTTCCTGCTCCCTCGTCTCTGTTCTGCCCTGACCTTGTCCACAGGCGTGCTCTGCCTTCACTGCTTTCCTCATCTTCTGCAGCACAACTCGGTCTGCATCCAAGGCCTAGAAATGCAGAAGAGACAGTCACTGCCTACATCCATACAGATACTTCCATAAACCAGAGAGTTCAGCACAAGTCTCAACACCTCCACACCTGACTGCCCTGCCAGCAGGGTGACGGACTAGTGGAAGCAATCCATACGTATCTTAAATGCCAACAAGCCTTCCTGATGGTCTTCTGGAAGAAGTGATCAAGCATAAGGAGTGAATTGGAAAATATATCAGAAAAAGGACTGTAGAGCAGGGGGTTTAAGAGGCAAGAAAATCTGTTAGCCACAAACTCTGTTTCCATCACCGTCCAAGCCATTTCTGGGCTGGGAGGAGGAAGCATGGGTGGCTGAGGGGAAATGTTTGGAGGCATCTAAACTCTCTGCCTATGAGAAACTGAAGGAGACAGATGCTCTTCACAGAAGTGCTGGCTGGGAGGGCTCTCTGCAGGGCCCTAATCCAATCCCTGGTATGGAGCAGGACTATTGCCAATACTCCGTCAGGTTTGCCACACTTTGCCTAGTTGAGTTTTGAAACCCTCCAAGGGTGGAGATTCTCTGGTGCACCACCCTTTGCAGAAGCAACTTTTCCTAATGTTCAGCCTGAACCTCTCGAAGCTACAATTTGTAGCTGTTGTTCCTTGTTATACCATCTGACACTGCCGAAAAGAGCTTGGCACTATTGCCTTTGTAACTGCCCTTTGATGAGTTGTAGGCTATCAGACTCCCCTCCTCTTCCCCCTAGTCTCCTTTTTGTTTGACTAAATCAGCCCAGCTCCTTCCACCTCTGCTTCTCTATCACCATTCACTGGCCCCTCTCCAATTTCTCCACATCCCTCCTGATCTCCAGAGCAGTGTTTCAGGTGTGGCCCTTTCACCAGACTGACGTAAGTCCTGACAGCTCCTAGACCAGACTGGCATCGTGGGGATTGACAGGACTTTGCTCTGCATATTGGCCTTATACTGCCAGAGCTGGAAGACAGGGCTTAGCTTTTAAAAGCCAGAAGCACTGATATTTGGGTGCAAATGGTTTTACAGCAATTTGGATATGCAAAGAAAAACTAAGGGCGGAGTTTCATGCTACAGCTAAGGCCATTTAACAACTGCATGGAAGGCGGAGTTGGATAAGCACCCAGGGGCGTGATACCACTGCTGTCTTTGTATTCTGTTGTGCAAAGCATGGTCTGACACCTCACTGATAGCAGTACATGGGACAAGCCACACAGTTGAACCCCTGTAACAGAGGTGGAAATGAGTCAGGCTCTTTGTGGATCAGCAGTGTCAAGACTGTGGCATTTCTGGGTACAAACATTTAGGTACCCAGGGAGCATTAGTGCTGGAAACTTAACTGCATGTTTCCAGAGCTCAGTGTAGCAAAGCAGAGATGCTGAGATCTCGAATTATGGACTTAGACCCCAAAATAGAGGTTACTAGACTTCCTGCTACATCTCCCTGCAGAGCGCAGAGCGCCCCAGGGAAGAGCTGCCACCCACGACTCTTCGCAACTGCACCTTCTTGTCCAGCCCAGTTATTGGGACTGAGGTTTCTAGCCAAACACTCAGGCTCCAGGACTGAGATTCCTGGGGCAACTAATGCAAGATACTTCTAGGGCCAGCTTGGCCGTTATCATACTAAGCATTACAAACCCCGGGAATTCAGTGTTATGCTTCAAAGAAATTCCAGTGAGCTGAGGTAAGAAAGGCAAAGGTGAGATAAGGCACCTGATGCTTCTGACCACTGCTCTTTGGCAATGCTGTTGGAGAGACTCACATCCCTTTGTTTGGAAAATCAGTTTAAGTTAAACCAGGACCTCAAGGACTAATATCCCAGTCACAACCACATGGTTATTTGGAGTGCCAGCACAGGGCAGACACAGTTCCCTGCCAGGCCACAGCTTGCTGCAGTTGTCTGAGCCACAGCTGTGGGATTCATCTCACCAACCTTAGGCAGCCCCCAACCATGTCACCCAGGGGTCCATTCACAGGTGACGGAGACAAACAGACAAGTCTCCAACACAGTTCTTACGGCCTCTTTCAGACAGCTCAGGCTTAGGATGGGAGGTACTGCTGTTCCAATGTTTCCAGCAATTGCATAAACAGTCAAGAGGGGGAATAGCTCAGGCAGAGGGCATCCACTTCATGCTTCCAAAATTCAGGGACATGAACCATGCACTTGGTTGAGAAAAACTGCCCTGCTCAGTGGTGCACCTGGAGTACCACTAGGGCATCGGAAGCCAGTGGGGACCGAGCCAGTGGGGGCCACCCTAATCTGCAGAGAGAAGCCCATGGGAATCCAGCACAGTGCTTTCTGCTGCTGGGCCCACCATGCTGGGGACAGCTTTGCACAACAGAATACAAAGACAGCAGTGGTATCACGCCCCTGGGTGCTTATCCAACTCCGCCTTCCATGCAGTTGTTAAATGGGGGCGGTTGCTAGGAGGATATCATCCCAGAAGAACATGGGCTCTGGACTTAAATTTGTATTAGTGGAGACTCCATCACAACTTTTGGTATATTGTCCCTATGATTAATGGCATCTCCTGTTAAAACTGTGCACTTCACTTCTAATCTGTTTAGAAATTACAAACATCTAATTTACATGTCTAGACAATGGGTTTCATTACACCTCTGAAGACTGATGACTGCTCTTTTCTCACATTTCTGCCCTCAGGGCCAGTGTTACCAAGCTGTGATTGAGCCATCCCTGACCTCTTCTTTGTATTGCTTTCTCTGGCCTGCAGACCCCTCAAATACCATAGCATTTACCCTGCTTGAGCAGAGGGGTTAGCCTAGATGATCTGCAGAGGCCCCTTCCAACCTCAACCATTCTGTGAAATGCTACAAGATCAACACTTCAAAAAAAAAAAAACCTCTAGTCTCTCTTTAGACATTAGCAGCAAAGCACGGCAAGAGCACCAACTTTCTCTCCAGATCTTTGCACTGGCGGTGGGTGACAGCGATGGTGCCTGTGGACTCTCCAGTCCCCGTGGCCACACCGGGGAGAAGCAGCAACCTCAGGACAGGGGGACGACAAGAGCATGACCCAGGAGCTGCGCTGTGCACACAGACTGTGAGCCTCTGCTCTCCTATGCACTTTACTCACACGTACAGAGATCATGGTCAGTTCTTAGGTGAGGGCTCCTTTCACAGAGCCACACCACTCCTCCTCAGGCTGCATGTGGCAAAGAGACAGGCTGGCACTGCCACACACACACTGAGGGAGCTCACCCTTTGTTCTCATACATGCGAAGACCCACGGTGTGCAGACCTGCAGGTGCTGCACACCTCAATTGCGCTCACTCGTGCACACTCTTGCTGGGAAATCCCTGCATCAGAAGCCAGATGAGCTGTCACAACCATGGTCTAATCTCCTGAAAATCCTTGAGGTAAAAATAAAACATTTCAGTTATTAATTTTCTCTTTCAGCTAGGGGCACAGAATGCAGTTCATGCTTTTCTCTCCTGTTCATGAAGGAGAAAGGTGGCCTGGAGTGATTATGGTTGAGCGGGAGTGTGATGGGAGCCTGGAAATGTTCTGACCATGTGCAGAGGAGCACTGGATCCTCATAGAGCATTTGAGATAAAACAGCATCTGAAGAAAGCCAAGTGGGCAAAAGCTGACATTATCACCAGGAGCCTTCAAAGCACTGGGTGCATTCCCGATACACCACCCAGAGGAGTTACAAGGTGCTACCAGAAAGTCCCTTTCGCTTTAATGCCCTACTTGGGTGTCCTCCTCCCAGCCAGCCCACCGCCCAAAGAGTCTAAATAAGACCTGGCTTTAATGTGAAAATAAGCAGGGGGAAACATACACCATAATACCCCCCACCCCCACCCCAGCTCTGCTTTGTGCAGCAGATGCAGCAAAAGGCTCAATATTTACAAGTGAGCTGTGTGCTTAGCTTGCTGTGCTGCCTCTTTGACACCTGGAGTTCTCTCCAGATCCTCCAGATACATGGTCCCCCCCTCCCCTGCCTCCTCCCAGAAGCTCAGGCACCTTGTGGGGGCTGTAAGCTCACCAAGCGCTTCCTGGCAATAGCCAGTTCACGGACTGCGCTGGCAAAGATGTTAAGAGTTGGCTGTGGTCTGTTTCCAAAGTTCTCAGTGCAAGACTCCAGTGCCACCTTCAGCATAGCTCCTCGTATAGGGCTGTACCAGGGGACAATGATATGGGCACAGACTATGAGGACAAGATGCGAGAAGACTATAGAGCTTGCTATTGCTATTAGCTTCTCACACAGGAGTAACCACACACCAGGTACCAGTTTTGCCTCGGGAGCTGAACTGTCTATCAGACTGCGATTCAGAGAAGCTCACCACAGTACTGGGCATTGCTGGGTACTACACGATGCAGGGGAGGATGCAGAGGAGGAACACAGACCAGAGGACCTTCTCTGACAGTAAAGCTGGGCGAGAATACCAAGGTAAATGAAGACTGGTAGAAAGAAGAGGCCTTGAACCTTGAAGGCCACGACTTACATAAACCTAGAATAAGGAACTTTTGAAACAGAGAAAACTCAGATCGGAAGTAACAGAGTTTGTGAAACATCCCTTCCCGCTCCGGCGTTGCAGGGTGCTACTTTCCTTGCTCTCAGGCCAATAACCAGTGACTTGCTGGATTGCAGCAAATCCTGCGCAACCCCCTGAGTTATTGGGAAATGTCATTCTTTCCATCTTATCCATAGCCTGCATGTATGTGTGATCCCTTCCCTTCTCAGCAAGAGAGATCCTGGGCAATACGCTCTAGAGGGCCCTGCTTGAGCAGGGAGGTTGGACTAGATGATCTCCAGAGGTCCCTTCCAACCTCAACCATTCTGTCATTCTGCCACTCTGTGGAAAAGGATTACCAATTAGTTTCAATCCCTTGTGAAAGTTGTTCTTCAAGGTTTTTTTGGACAGTCATAATCGTGCTTCCACATCTTTCTGCTAGAGTCTAGGATTCTTTATGGTCTTCTCATTTGGACATACCTCTCCTCATGTGAAGACTCCTCTTTATTTCCAACATTTACCCATCACAACTTTTCTTTCTTTTTTAGGGGGGAGAAGGGGACCCTTCTAGAATCTCTTTTGATAAGTGGAAAACGTTTGCTTTGAGCCTTCCATATGGTGTCTTCAAAAGGTCTCCATGCCAGCTGGAGACGTTTTACCGTTCTACATGTTTCCTTTAAGTTCTTTCTAGCTTCTTAACTTTTATATTGTTTCCCTTTTCAAAGTTAAGTACAATAGTGGTGGGTATTTTAGTTTCCCTTGCTCCAGCAACAATGTCAGTTCTAAGGACGTTATGGTATTTTTTCATATGTTCAAGATAAAGTCAAGTTTTCCTTCTCTTGTGGATGCCTGATTGTCCATGAATACTTTACACAGCAATGTACAGAGATATATCTTCAGTCTAAACACCATACACCACTGTGGCTTTTATCCAGAGGTAAAAAACAAATCTTTAGTGATCCTTTTAGTGACCCTACTACATCCCTCATCCATTAACACTTGCTTACTCTGTCTTTCTTGAATAGTTCATACCCTGGCACTACCATGTCCTGCTGTCCCTCCACAAAGTTTCTGGTACGCCTGTTATCTCAGTGTCCATCTTTACATTAAGACACACTATAAGGAATATTCTTGAGCATTCACACAGAAACAGGTAGCAGGGTGGGTTTGGTTTTCTATTCCTTGTTTAAATGAGCCTTTACTTGTCCCAAAAGTTCTTTGTCAGCTCCAATTTCACTCTGGTCACCACCTGCCCTTTCCTTTACTTGAAGGGGGTGAACTGTCTCTGCTCAGAGTACACACTTCCAAATCAAGCACTGTTCTGCACTTGCCAGCTCTCATCTCTCTCTAATTCAAAAGCTTCTCTTTACCCTTCTTAAGGGGAAGCCATCTAGCTTAGATGAAGTGTATCTGTCTCTCTTGTAGAGGCTCCAGTTGGGCAGTTTTCCCAGTTCCAAACATCTCTGATCTCCTCCACCCTAAACCAGCTTTTTAGCCACACAATCAGACTCTGCTTGGCCTTGTGCTTGGCACTGGGAAGGGGTATTTTGGAGACCACCGCAGAAACCCTGATCTCCAACTTCCTAATAGCCTCCAAACTCCAAACTCTCTCTCCCCCCACACTCCCTTCTACTACCTCCTCCCCAAAATGTTGCAAGAGCCTGTCCCACTCCCTTGTGATGTCAGTCATCTTTACCTGTCATCTTTTATCAGAAGTTCAGCTCTCCACACACAGACGCTTGAATCTCCCACATCTGGGGCCTGCCTCCCTCCTCCTTTCTTCTGACAACCCCCTCCCTAAAGGTATAACCTAACTCCAGAAGTGACCCAGCCCCACTTCTGGGACCATTCTCTGCTTGCTAGATTGATGCTTTCAGGTCAGGAAGCTCTCTTCACTCTAAGGAGCAGCACCAGAGTGTCTGCCCCAGCCATGAGACTGCTCCATGACAACCCTGAGGCTATCACCAACCAGCAACTCCACCTCTCTGAGCTCCCTCAGTTCAGTCAGCCCAGCTTCAAGAGCAGCACTGCCTCCAGGGATCATGAACTGCCTAAACTGGCCACAAGGCACAAAATTACATATCTGACACTCGGTGCACAAATCTCCAAATCCCCTTTCCTGGCTGTATTTTTATCTGCACCAGTTTGCCTTGAAGGCATGGACTTCGCTCCGCATTTAGTTGAGCTACGTAACTTCCCCTTTGAGGATCTGCTTCCAGAGTTAGCAGTGGAAAACCTGCTGACCTCCCTCCCCTGCAGCTAAATTTCCTACAGCTCAATTGTCTTTTACCTTGTTGGCCCACGCTTCCCAGGCTCAACTCACACCATGCTGGGGCTCTCCTTGCTCAGCCAAGGGCTCTTGCTTTGTTTAGTGCTTTATACCATATCTACTGGGACTGCTCTCAGTTATTAGTGCTTACCAACTTAAGACTACTTGCGCACACTCAGAGACTTTTTGCTGTACAATTTTCTTCACATTTTCACTAACAGCTGCTCTCTCAACTACTACAAAAGTCACAGGCATAAATATTTCTGCCTTTCAGTGATGAGATCAAGGAACAGAGAGTCGCGATGGCTCCAGCTCTTTCAGATCTGTTTTCATGCCTGCCCATAATTCCCACAGTGCTGGTGTCACAGAACACCGGTGCCTTCTTGTTAGTTTTCAAGAATGCAGAAAGTATCAGGCCAAGAGAGACTGTCAGTTCACTTAGTTTGACCTTCTGAATATACAAGGCACTAACATTCACAAGACAACTTTGCATGGAGCCTATAACTCATGTGGGAATAAGTGGTTTCCAGAAATACATCCAGGCTGGGTTTAAAGAGGGCACATACCAATAATTCACTTTGTCTTGAGTCCAAGGTCGGCCCAAGCTGCTGCATATTTTTGTATGGTCATGAATTTCGCAGAAAAATAGCAAGAAGTCAATTTGAACACTGGTCTGGAGCAGTGGCCAGGGTGAAGAGAAGCCCAGTAAGCATGAAGTGGAAAACATTGTAGCATAGCTTGGGGGCAGGGGCTTGTAAAGGATGAAACTGTGATATGCTCTGGTCTCTGGTCTGACCCAGGTCTCTGCAAGGCTCCTGGAAAGCCAAGGAGTGTTGTCTCTCCAGAGTGAGGAAATAGCAATGCTCGTGCGTCACGGCGTGTTCTTTAGCTTTCCGTTTGTCGAAGGTTCTCCTGGCCATCCGTCCAGTGCAGCCTTTCAGATCTGACTCAGGTCTGCACCGAAAGAAGAAACCAACTCCCTGTATTCTCTGCTTCACAGGAGTGCTGCTGCCTGTCCAGCATGGCTCACATCATTGCTTTCTGCTTTTACCATGGAGTAATCCCATACGAACTGCATGGCCCGGGGAGGAGGGAGCAGTGGGATTTTATCTTGAGTTTACTGTCAACTCTGACACATAAGTCCCAAGCCGAGAGCCCTGCCGATTTGACAAACTCAGTAGTATGTGCTTTCTCTCTGACCACAGCTTCCTGATGTAGCAGCTCTTTGGAATGACCAAAGTTTTAGTTTTTCTTTTGGTAGAGATAATAGAGTAACAGTTGAAAATTAAGCAACACAAGGAAATTGCACCACGTCCAGGACTCATGAGCAAGTTCTGGCTTCCAGAGACGTGAAAACTTATACAAAAACCACAGCGACCATCACTTTGACAAAATGATCTACAGGCTCCACACACACCACTCACAGCCTGCAGAGGTCTGCTAGCTGATCCCACACTCTGGAGGACTTCAGTACAGTGCAGTGGTCAGAGCTCATAAGCAGACCCTAATAAAGTCCTGGGCACTTCCCCCTCCTGTGCTGAAACTACAAAATAAAGAGGAATATGACATGGAGGAAATGCTGTTTAGTTGCTCCCAGCATATTTATCAGACCTAGCAGGAGGAGGCAGCAAGGGGGTTGGGGCCCTCTGGACCACCCAGCCGTGAGGAAAGCCAGCCAATGCAGGTAGCCAACCATGAAGAATACCGTCCTCCCCCAAGACAGCAGCAAAATCTCTTTGATGTTTGTCCTGACCTCGATCAGCCCAGGAGCAGGCCAGTGTGGTGATTACATTGTACTTGTCTCAGTTTTCAGCCGAGTCCCAAGAAGCCGTGAAAGTAAAGGCGGCTCAAGCTGGGCAATGAGATGCTGAATATGGCCAGCAAGCAACTGAAAGCCAGGCCCTCT